CGCTGATCTCAGAATTACTGAACTCGAGTCGCGCGTCGAAGAAGTCGAAAAGATGATCAACGATAGCAACAGCCAAGCTTCAAGCCATCGCGCACGCTACCCCGGCGTAAACGAGTCGATGACCAGTACCGTATCAGTGTCCACCGAAGGCAGCGAGTACACAGCGAGTCGCGCGGAGCTCTCCAGCCAACTCCAAGCTCTCAAATCGCAGCTCAGTCAGCTGCAGGGCCTCTCATCTTTTCCATCCCATACCCGCCCCTGGGAAGTGGAAGTCGTCTTCCTGCCTTTCCCCTTGAAGAGCGTTTGGATAGAACCCCGCGAGTTCGCAAGCCAACGCCTCGCCAGTGGCGCACTCGTCGAACCTGATCAATGGACCCAGCTGCCCAACAGCTCTTCGATGTACGACCAGTCGCCGTTGAGTGACTGGGCCGGACCAGAACATGAGTCGGATTGGTTACTCCCTCGGGCATGTGCCCCAGATCGAGTCATCGAGCAGCGTCTTAGGAGCCGGGGTCTGATTAAAAAGGTCGCCATCCATAGCCCCGACGCCCGGAGCGTGCAGCAAGCCATGGCCGACGCATTCGGCACCTTATTCCGTACCTTCTCCCGTATGCAGGCAAACGTTCACCACGGCTCAACTCAACACCACCGCGTGGCCAAGTTCCTCGGCCTGCAGTCGCCATGGGTGCCCCTGCGGAAAATCCATAAAGATTCAAGACTTCGTTTCCTGTCACCGGCTGAGATGGTCACGCCGGTAACATGGGACGTGCCGTTCCTGCGCTCGAGCGTGGTGATGAAGGCGACCGGCGTTCAGCGTCTCTTTATTACCCATCCCGAAGCGTACCTTCAAGATCAAGACGCGTACGACAACGGGTGGAACTGGCAGCGCCTCCGAGAGCTTAGCCGAGTCTACGCCGACTCTCAAAGCAGCCAAGAGGTACCCGAAGCAGACGCCATGGAAGACTGTTGGGGGTGGAATAACACCCTCGACGAGCATCTCGTCAGCGCCCGCACCTCGCAGTCTCTAAGCCTCCGACAAGCAGCACAGCGCAATTGGCGTATATTGTCCGCGTCGCCTTCTCCAATTTTACTGACTGGGGTCGCGGGCATGTCGCCTTCGCTCGGAACAAGTCGTGCCGGCTCGCGCGCCAAGTCCCCGGCTGTGCTAAGAGAGCGCAAGGGATCGAGACCGCCCCACGTCCGCACAACTTCGCTACCTCCGGCTGCCGCGCCCGCCGCATCTCCAGCGATGGCCAAGAGGCGCGTCACCTCGTATGTGCATCCCTACGAACGTCGCGCCTCGCAGGTGTTCCGAATCACGCCGATCACGCAAGTCGCCGCGATGGCGAAGCGGCGTAGCGCACGCTCCCCGTCGGTGAACGTACGGCCGCGGAACACCCCACGCAGGACCACGGCATCATCGAGCCCGGCTCCGCGCGACTTGTACGTGGCCCGGCCCACGACACCCTTCTACGCCACACCCCATAGCAACGCGCCCTTCTTCGAGGCGCGGTCTGCCGGCCGCGGCGTGGTCGTCGTCGACGACGCGGGCGGGAGCGGCAGCGGCACCGATCACGATAACGACGAAGATGAATTCATGGACGAAGAGGGAGATGACGACGATGATGATGATGACGATAATGACTCAGAGAAACAACATGACGAGGACGACAGCCCGATGGTCGACTTTACCCATCATCCCCAGGACTCGCAGGAGTCGTGGCAGGACGGACAGCTGCCGGCTCCCGAAGACGAGCCGTGGCCGGGGATCGAGGACGCGGAGAACCGGGACCCGGACGCGGGCGGCTTTGACTTTGACATCGATATACACGTCGACGACGACGCCATGAGCGTGGGCGACGGCCTAGGCGACGAGAGCCAGGGGTCTAGCGTGCCCAGTGAGTACCCGAGCACGCAGCGCGCGTGGACGGGCGTCGAGGAGGGATTCCTGGTCTTTGAGGATACAAGGGGCGTTGGGGAGTAGAAAAATGTTTCCTCTTCTGATCTTAGGCCGGTGGCGCTTTTAGAATTTCCGACTGGTTCCTCTGGCTATCTGGTCTTACCTCGTACGATATGATGTAGAAGCTGTCCGATCTGGAGCGGGAGGGATGTGTTTGGCGATGATGACGACGGCGTATCACGTTTACAGGCACTGGCGTTTTCGGGGAGGCGGATATACATATAAGCGTTGCTTCGGGTGGTCTGGATGTTATTTGTTTATATGGGAGAAGGAGTGGGAGGCATACTTCTGGTTATATGGCCCTCGTGCCTTGTCGTCTTTTTGACATTTTTCCTAGACAAAACCTACCTATTTACCTCTATCTGTCGCCCTACATATTTGACGTTGTGTTTTGCTATGTTCTCTCGGTTCGTGGGGTTGTCGAGAATGAGCTTCGCTGTACTGATGATGATGATGATGATGATGCTGCCTCGGCGGCACGGACGATGCGGTAAGATGGGATGAACGCGGGAAAGGAAGAGGTGTTGCGGAGTACATCCGGTTATTACGATTTCTCCATCTTGATCTTCGTTCAGCATGTAAGGTAAGAGGAGGTATCTAACGAATGGTCAGTCGAAAACCGCTACTCTCACGAAGAGGGAGTTGGGAAAAGGTTAGATGGGTAAACACTGCGTTAACATGAATCCAGTTACCACATGTGTAACGGTACGTAAGAGGCGTATTAAAGAGACACGTCTTGAGCTTATTAGGCCTGCTCCGGTACCTGCAGTAGGCACGTAAGTTGGAAAATGGGTAGTTGATGTTTAATTAGGCTTTTCCAAGTTTGCGGGGTGCGTTTAGCTCGAAGTCTATCTTGATGAGTTTCGAGTTGGGTTGGATTATTCACCTACATGTAGGCCAGCGGATGACAACGTGCGTCTTATTAGGGTTGAATGTTTACATATACCTGGGAACATAGATAAGCGGCATGTCGGCAAAAAGGGTACCCGTTGTTGGAGATATGGCCAGGCAGCAGTCCTTGAGTCTTTCCGGATCGAATGCATTGGTTATCAGCTCTCGTCATTTGGGCTGGTTTGGCGCCTGTGAAACTCAGTGCTTTGCGAGCAACCCGTTTTTTCCCATAAAAGGGGCAGCATTCAATACCGTTCAGATTACAACACTTTGGGCAAAGAGAATATCGTGTTTAACCACAGAAAACTCTAAGTATTCTCTCGAGCAATCCAGCAGTGGAATAATAGACTTCTCTTTTCAACGGTAGGTAGTTTTTCTCAATTATGAAAGTGCTAGTGTTATTCAATCACGCAAAATAGCTCCTTTTAACATAACGTCCCCTCCTCCTGTCTCGATAAATGAAAATCGTAAAACTCTCAGCAGAGTTGGATGATGTAAATCATGTAAGTTCCATTATATCAAGATCGAGCCTATTTATTCTGGGGTAAGCCGTTTTTGCGGGGCCGCTCGGAGGTTATGGCCGACTGTTAAGGTTCATCTTTGCTTCGGACAAGTTCAATTTCAAGTTAAGGTTTGGAGCTCGTTGTAAGTATTTAAAGACGGCCACAAGAGCTGATACAGGCGTCCTCTCACAACTATTGTGCGCATGGTCGATGTCCACCACCTTTCCACTACATTCTCCGATACTGCTCTCCGAGCTAAGCCTGTGACTTTCCCGACACAAGAATAGACCAACACACTTCGACACTTGGAGATATTTTATTTTCGACTACGACAAAGCCACCGATAAAATGCGCTATCATCACGGTTGCCGACTCTTCAAAACCAAGCACTGGGGGGCCCTCTGGCAAAGCAACGTGCCAGACCTCGACACCTTGAAGGAACGACAGTGCACCTTTGTAGCCATAGACTTCGAAGGACGTGCCAGCAAGGACGGACCCCTTGACATTACGGAAATCGGACTCGCCGTCCTTTACCCCCCTGTCGCCAGCAAAAGCCCAAGTCCGGATGGCCTAAGACACCAGGGCCAGTCACTCGAGAACTTCTCCGAGCAGAACGCAATTGAGAGCCACTGGATCCGGGTCCGGGGCCGCGAGCGCGACGCCCGGTACTGCAAAGATCGGTACCGCGTCGGCGCCGCGCAGGAGATCGACGCCGAGGGAGCCGAGGAGGCGCTCGTCAGCCTGCTTCAATCGATCAAAAACCGGTCCGGGAACAGCCCGCTGGTGCTCGTGGGCTTCGATCTCGTTTTCGAGTTCATCGTCATCGCGTCGCACCTTTCGCAGATCACAAAGTACTTCGCGTCCTGGGTGGACCTACAGGATATTGCGGCAGAGGTCTCAGGCGACCCGAAAGCCGGCCATCTCAGCATGAAGACGACGCTCCTCGCCTTTGGCTTCTTCGCGCGCGACCTAGCCGGCCGCGGCAAGGGCGGTCACAACGCCGGCAACGACGCGGTCCGCATACTCGCCGTTCTCGTCAACCTGCTGCGGATGGAAAAGGGCAGGACGATCGGCATCGACACGGGGCTGCCGAAGGAGGAGAATGCTCTGCGGAGGATTTGGACGCGCGACCGGCCGAGCCCGAGGGAGCTCTACCCTTTCACGGCCAGGATCCGCATCGAGGGTAAAGATCTCAAGTACCTGGCCCGAGACTGCCAGCAGCTCTTCTACTACTTTTCCGACTACCAGCCGACGGCGGTGGGCATGACTAGGGCTGGTAATTATGGCTGGGTGTGTCTGCCAACCAAAGAAGAACTACATCGTTTCGTACACGACCTACACGGCCACGAGTTCGAGGACGAGACGTGGATCGTGGTCGCCGACTACGACCCTCAGACACCACATCTGACACCGGAGCAGTACCGCGAGGCCAAGCGAGCAGAGCAGGAGGCACAAAGAAAGAAGAAGCAGCTGGAACGGCGTATGAAGAGAGACGGAGAGTTAGGCGAGCGAGCTGGTATCAAATGACGTAAGGTCCTTCGTACCTTCCTTGATAGCTCAAGAACATAGCTTTCTCTACCGCTCCGGGCAGCCGACTGCCAAGATAAATAGAGAAATAATGTTGGCACCTACCAAGAAACAGCCAAGGCAGGATGGCCGAGTGGTAAGGCGCTGGATTTCAGTTTCTGGTGGGTTCTCACGCGTGGGATCGAGTCCCACGCGTGTCGAATTTGGTGCGTTTTAGGCGCAAACACAGAACAGAAATGAATCTGATAACCCTCGGAGTCAAGTTACCGTCGTGCCGTTCTCAAGTTGTCCCTGAGCCCTATGTTCTTGGATGACGAGCAGAGCAGGCTACGTACCTACGGTACCAGAGTACCTAGGAGGTACCTACCTTTTTGAAACTTGGCCACTTTGAATCTTCAAGGTTGTACTATCTATAGCCATCATCAATATGCGTCCTGGGCCTCAGCAAGACTGTTATAGAAACAGATCATTGCAGCAAGTAGTACTGCGTGACCTCGAACCACTTGAGGCACCCGAGGCTTGTGATTACCTATATATACCGGTACGTGCTATAACTATCACTGTCAGGCCTTAGCCTCATCTCGACGAGCCTCAGCCCTGGCCTCCTGGAACGCCCCAAGAAGAGGCTGACGAGGGATGCGTGTCACACGGCCAGACGTGCCAAGACCCATAGTAGAGTCTCATAACGAATCGACCAGGCAATACGTATATGGACTTGGCCCCCAGAGCAGCAGAGGTGACGATAGAGGCAGCTGGGGATATTCCTATCAGCTGAACCATAAGATAGTGACTTGCAAAGCGTACCAACAGCGCCTCGGGCGCTTAGAGGAGATCAGGATGACTGACTAAAGGCGGTCAAGCCAACGTGTGGAAATAGGAGCCTTTCCTCCCTCTTCCTTGAAGCAGGAGAGGGATAATGTGACGAGGGCTGATATAGGGCTCGGAATCATTCAAATTCAACTAATAATTCTCTTGGGTCTCAAGGGCCTTGTCCCCCCTTCTTCTTTGAGAAAGAGGGAGGAAAGGTTCCTACTTATACACGTTGGGCAGACCGTCTTTAGTCAGTCATCCTTAACTTCTCCAAGCGCCAGAGGCGCTGTTGATACGTCTTGCAGGTCGCCGTATAGTGGTTCAGCCTATAGGAATATCCCCAATGCCTCCATCACCAACACCTCCACCTTGGGGCCACATTCATATATGTATTGCCTGATCGATTGGCTCATAAGGCTCTGGTACGTCTCTTGGCACCTCGGGCCGTATCCGGCCGTGTGACAGATAAGGTTCCAAGCTCTATACCAGCCCTTGTCGTAATGAGAATGTCTCCTTATTAAGAAGCCTCTTTGTCTGGACATGATTGTATATACGGAGGGCATTAGTAGCTTCTAGGTTCATAGCTCTTCGTGCAACAACTTCGTGTTTACCTCATCGCCAAGTTGGCCTCATGACACACGATGGTCGTAAATTAGCTTCATAGCACATATTTCCAACACGCAAGACCAACCATTAAGTACGAGGCAGCAATACCACTTGGGTCAGAATTCGAGAAGAAGAAAAGAAATTAAAAAAGCAACGAAAGTCATCCGATTTTGTCCCCTATGTATGAGAACAGGGAGTCTTACGACGCAGCGCAACTCGCCCATTGCCTGGTTGCTCGCCCGTTCCGATCTGCCAGAGCCTGCCTTTGTGCCTTGGGAGGCCCGGCTAGTCTATTATACATTGGCGGCAATGCTCTGTATCGTTCCCTCTGTGTCCCTATCTCCTCCCGATGGTATGCCCTTCCCCGTGGGGCATCTAATACCCTTCTCCTTTTTTTATATCCTTTTTGTAGTTTGTTTTGTGTTCAATTTGTGCAATCTCTGCGCAGTCTATTTTCCGGTGAACGAATATAAAACCAGCCTCTTTTTGGTATGTGACAAACGCCGATGCATGACTTTGCTTTTGTAAGGAAAAGGAAAAGCAAGACCTGTCGGGAATCCGTCTTGAACTTTTTTTGACCATCTTTTCCAGTTTTCGTATGATAAGGGGTAAAGTAAAAGAAAGAAAGCGAACGTTTCGTGGTAACCCATCTCGCGATGTTGGAATGTTGCCACCCGTAGGAATCAGTCTAGTTCTCATGTCGTCGTCGTCGTCGTCTGTCATTATCATCATTATGCTTTTGTGTCTAGAAGCCCCATTCTCTAAGATTTGAGAGAGCGCGGGCAGGTAGTCGGTCTCTTGAGCGTGCGTAGATGCGAATAGTTGACGCAGCGGCTCTTAGACAGCGGCGGGAGGAAAAAAACGAAAGACGGTATGTTGATGTATGCGTGTGATTGAAAGCGGGAAATATGATAAGCCGGCTGTCCTAGTACAGTGATGAATCGGGGGGACGAATGCCGTTTTATGTATATGCGTAGAGGGTCAATGTGCAGGTAGGCGGGTAAGCAAATACGCAAGGCGACGGTTGTAATGTATCCTGGCCGAGGTTTTCCAACCAGGCACACAACCCACGAGCCCTGCCCTCGATCGTATTCAACTTCGATTGAACCGGCCACGTTTAGACCAAGCGTGCCCCGTTAGATCTGTTAGATCTGTTGGATCCAGTCGGTTCGTGGGAGTCGTTGGTGGCAGCGACGGTGGTTCGGGAATCGACAGCATTACCGTTGGTGTTGGCGATGTCGTTGCCCTTCTCCTTCAAAGACAGGTTCTCCATGGGCAACGACTCGTAGGGGTTCGCCGACTTGACCGCCTTTCCAGCTTCTCCAGTTTGACCAGCGTCAGCCGCATTGCCGGCATGGACGATTCTGGGAGCCATGATGGGGGTGCGAGTCGGAGGAGCAATAGGGCCAAACGGCGACATGCTGTACGATACTGCGAGAAAGAGTCAAGTGTTAGCTGTGTGTGTGTACATAAAACCAAGATAGCGCGAGGAAATGAATGTTAGAAGGGATGGATTAAGCAAAAGAGAAGCACGTACCAGCAGGGGGTCGCATACCGCCAGTAAGGCGAGCCGGCATGCCGCGACCAGCAGCCATCGCGGCTCGGTGAGACTCGCCGGGACCCTGTCGGCGCCAGGTCGGAGGACCACGCTGGGGCGGAGTAGGCTGGCCCATGTCAGCGGCAGCGGGCTCACCCGGACCGCCGGCAGTAGCGGCAACAGTGACAGCAGTACCAACAGGCGAAGCGGAGTGACCTTTCTGAGCAGCATGGCCAGAGCCGCCATTGCCACGTCCGATGTAACGATCAGTGCTCAGCCTAGCAGCAGGCTCGGCGGCGGCATCGTCGCCATCACCCTCTCGCTGGCGCGACAGGTCGGCCTGGTGCTTCTTCCACCAGGCGGGGAAGCCGTGGAAGAGGCCGAGCTGGTGCTGGGTCACCTTGTCGAAGGGCATCTCGTGCTTGTACTTGCAGCCCTGCTGCGTAAAAGCGCACACGCCCTCGTGGACCCACTTGTCGCAGTAGATCTTGGGGCGGCGCTGGGGCTGGTTGCTGCCGTTGTTACCACCGCTACCGCCGCCGTTAACGTTGATGTTGCCGTGGTTGTGGTTGTGGTTGTAACCGCCACCAACACCACCATTGCCGCCGCCAACAGGTCCGCCATGATGGTGGTGAACCTGAGAGACAGAGTGAGGGTGAGGATGACCGTGACCGCTGTGGTGAGGAGCAGCGACAACGGTCGTCACGGCGGATGCGGGACCGAGACCATGGCCAGCGACGCTCGAGGGCGACGTGGGGTACGAGGGCGTCGCGGGCGTGGACGCGACGATAGTGTCGATGCGCGACTGGAACGCAGGGAACTGTGTCAGTTTAGACCTGGGATACGACAGAGAACAAGGGAACATTGCAGGTGCTTGCATATATATGGCACTCTCACATCAGAGAGATAGAAGATAGACAGCACTGATGCTTGTCCGAGGTAGGGAGATTGGGGTATTTGTGTGAGATGTGAGATTTGGGGTTCGTCGCGTTTGCAACGGCACAATGAGACAAATGTGCGTAACACAACTGCATCTCTTTGCGGCCGAAGGACGAAACGAAGTATAGGATTGCGTGTAGGAAAAGAAAGAAAACAGTGATATATATATATATATGTGCGAAGACTCGATTTGCTGAGGGAGCTCGACGTTGAAGTGGACGGAAAACAAGGACTGAAAAGAAAGAGTGACTTACCTGGATGTTGTCGGACGGCGACGAAGGCGCATCAGCAGGGCCCTACGTCATAGTTAGTAGAGCACGTTATCGGAAAAAAAAATAGACAAATGAAAATAAACGTAACATGGGATAACGGAAAGTATATCTCACTCTAAGAATCACGGCCTCGACGTTGCTCGAACAACCGTCGGGCGGGAGGGCTCGCGGCTGAGGCACCACGATCATGCCGGCGCAGCCTTGCTGGAGCGGAGCGATCTCCTGGAGCGAGGGGAGCATGTCGACGGGGACGAGACGCGTATACTGGCCGTTGCCTCGATCGTAGCAGTACGCGTAGCTGGCATCGAGCTGCATGTCGGAGAAGGCGCCCATGTTGGCGTTGTGGTTGGGGTACGGCGAGGCTTGCTGCTGGTAGTGGTCAGCGGTGGGAACGAGGTAAGCCGGCTGTCGGATGCCAGAGCTGTGTCGAGCGTGCTGCTGGTGGCTGCCGGTGGGCGACGCGTCAATGGGCGCCATCATCTCGTTGCCGTTACCATTGGCGCCGGCGCCGGCGTTGGCGTTGGCGTTGGCGTTGGCGCGAACGCCTTCGTCGGGCGATCGCCAGTTAGCCGAGCTGACGCCTCCTCGCGACGACATACCTGCGGGCGGCAAGCTGGCTTGGAAGACCTGCTGTAGCTGGTGAATGCTGTTGCGGTCAGTTGCGAGCTTGTTGCGGCGTTCGTTAACAGAGTGGAAGGGGTTTCGGTCCATCTTATGATGACGATCGAGCGCGGCGTTTGGAGTATGCTCTATATCGATACCGAGGTTGAGGTCGAGAAGTGGTGAGGATCTTTGAGAGGAAGAGGAAACAGTTGCTATGGGATCGAGAGAGGTAAGGCGAATGGAACTGCTTCGAGAGACACCCGAGGAAGAGTAAGAAAAGCTGGAGGGCGAGTTGGGTGCTGGATGGTCGGCGACGACGGGGGAGGTTGAGGTGCCCATATCGGGTAGGCACTAGGCAAGAAATATTTATTCTTTCCTTTTTTTTTTTTCCTTATTCAAAGACCAGAGGCTGCTTGAGAGCCTGACCCTCCGA